TACCTCATCTGATCACACAACCAGGGCTTAATGACCTGATTCGGGACTTGTTTTTATCAATGTTGCACGGGTCTTGTGTTTATCAATGTTGCACGGGGAACTTCTTGGCTCTTATTTACCATCAATGGAATTTATTAGCTCCAAGAACAAAAGTTTCAATTTACCGACGTCACCATCAAAGTCTTGCTTCTCACAACAGCATACAGATACTTTGTGTTTCTGTACAAATGTTGATGCATTAATGGAAGAATTAGGTACTGAACACCATCCTCAAGAATGCAGACTATTTATCAACTCATCTAAAGTTAGTCTGAAAACTGTTTTGTACAACGGGAACACTAAGCCATCGATTCCTATTGCTCATGCTGTGAACATGAAAGAAACTTACCAAAGCATGCAGGTTATACGTCCTTAAATGCAATTTTTAATAAATAAATAAATAAAGTTATTAAAGAAAAAGTTGCACGGGACTTGTTTTTATCAATGTTGCACAGGACTTGTTTTTATCAATGTTGCACGGGACTTGTGTTTATCAATGTTGCACGGGACTCGTGTTTATCAATGTTGCACTGGGACTTGTGTTTATCAATGTTGCACGGGACTTGTGTTTATCAATGTTGCACGGGACTTGTGTTTATCAATGTTGCACTGGGACTTGTCTTTATCAATGTTGCACGGGACTTGTTTTTATCAATGTTGCACGGGAACTTCTCGGCTCTTATTTACATCAATGGAATTTATTAGCTCCAAGAACAAAAGTTTTAATTTACCGAATTGATTCCTATTGCTCATGCTGTGAACATGAAAGAAACTTATCAAAGCATGCAGGTTATACGTCCTTAAATGCAATTTTTAATAGATAAATAAATAAAGTTATTAAAGAAAAAGTTATTTGTATCATATATAAGAATATTTTGAATAAATCGATCATAACTCGAAAACTAGAAGTGATCAGTAATTTTCAACATGAATTTTTAGAACCAGCATCATCAAATTACTCAGAAACAGATGTGTTTTTTCTAGTAGCAGACAAAAATTATTTTTATTTGTTGCCCAGTGGAATTAAACAAACATAAGAAATTTTCTGTTCTAATTATTTGTACAGTTTTTTTTTTTTGGTATACTTGAAATTCGGCAAAATTGTAGCATTTAAAAAAACAACAACAAAAGAAAAAACCGTAAAAACTGACAACAGCTTAACTGATGCCCTAAGCAGAAATTAAGGCTGTGCCTCTACTCACGCAGGAACCCACCCTCAAGTATTTATCACATCAACCTCTGCTAACTTATGTGGTTCATCATTAAACTGTGTTTGGATGATAATGTTAGTAAGCAAGTTTAACAAATTCTCACATCAATTTAAGTTTATAAAAGTTTAGATCAAATTTAACTGTATGTAGCATTAAAGAAGGAATTTGTTTTAAAATTTCTTTTTCTGTTAAAAGGCTTAACTATCTAAACTTTAACAGTTACTTTGCCTTCAAATTATTTGCATTAATGCAACCTGATTATCAATACTAATAGTTATTTTTGTTACTTGTTCAATTCAGAAAGGAAAAAATTTTGCAGTTTTGTGATCACCTGGGTTAACTCTAGGATTTCTCCTGATTGAACTCTCCTTAATTCCATCCGGACTGCTTCCAACTCCAACTCTTGTTCCAAGATCAACTTTTGTTCAAGTTCTTTTCTCTCATTTTCACATTCACTTTGGATCTGTAAGGAATTAAATTCCACGATCCTTAGATAGATAATAAATTCCTTGACTAATATCATTAAACTCACAATTATACACATTTTTATAAATGTTCAAGACCTTTTTATGAAATTAACACTATTGTCTTCGATACAAGTTTATAACAAATATGTTCAAAATTTAGAAATGTTAATTTTTACTTCAATTCTTAAACATCAAACTTCATTGAAAAAATTAACACACCAGTGATAAAAATTTCATTTATGTTAATCCTAAACAAAAGTGAATTAAATGCATAAAAAAATTTCACACAACTTCTTGTTTATTATAGCTTATAAACCAGCACCGAAACCAGTTGTTTACCTTCTTGATACCAGCTTCAAACTCCTGTTTTAAATTATCTATCACGTCATTTTGTGACATTAATTGTTGCTGATAGACTTCAATTTCCTGGTGGGCATCTTCTAGTTTATGCATTTCTACATCTAACAGCTGTTGGTAGTACTGAAGTTCAACACGATGCTCTTTATTAACCAACTCCAAGGCTGCTTCTTCCTGAAAATTATTGGGTATTTTTATAGTCCTTCTAGAGTTCTTTTTAAAACATACTCAAGTTTATAATATTTGTAAATAAAGTAAAATGTAGAAAGTACAATATACTTTTTTTTATTAAAATGGGTGGGTATTATTATTGGTAAAAACTTTATGTTACTTTGATGATCGTAGAGCTCTTGATATTATTTTTAAAAAAGTTCAAATTAAACCTCTGGTAACAATGAAAAATATTTTACTCTCTCCTCCATTTTTTTACTTCTGTGAACAAAATATTTTTTGCCATAATTGTTTTATGTCACCTTATTATTACATTTTTAGTCTAACACCAGCCAACTGCTCTTCTACACAAAATAAAAACATGAAATAAATTCTGGTAATTGGCGGCCAACTTAGCATAAATCTGCAAAAATTATCACCAATACACATTTTACATGTTTTGTCATCTACCAGTAATAATCATTATTCTATAATTTATTTAAATGCTGAAAGAATTACTAAATACATTTACACTTGGAATCATTTTTAAAAGATCAAATTTTGTAATAACCTTAATAAACTGGTTCAAAATGAATAAAAAAAATGTAATAAAATTGTATTTTTTTTTCTTCTTCTACCTGTGAACTTCCAAGTTGAATATTTAAGTGCTCTATCGTTTCCTGGACCTTGGAACTCACGGCAAGAATGTTTTCTATTACTTCTTCTCGCCTTTGTAGTACCTCATCCTGCAGGTTAGCCAAGTCTAACCTTAGGGACTGTTGTACCTGTTTTGTTAGCTCTTCTAGAGTTGTAACTGTACTCTGAAATCGTTGAAGCTGGAGTTTTGTGCTCTGGAGCTCCTCCTGAGTTCAGTACAATAACCCAAGTTCAGATATTCATTAAATACCACATCCAATAGATTTTTAACTGTTATGCAACTTCTATATACTATTTGAAAATGTTTAGAATATAATTTTTATAGCAAAAAAACGTTTCGACGCGCTACCAAAAAACCAAACACCTGATATTGATACAAAAGTTAAAAACCACACATTTGTCCAAATCCTTTTCAAAAAACAAAACAGACTTTAATATCCAGATTTCAGTTTGTTAGTAGAACAAGCATGAAAACTATGAAAACCTGAACTGGATATTTAACCCTAAGTAAAAGGTGAAACTGTTCAATTATTACAATTAATGTAACACCACAGTAATGTTGCTTCAACCTTAAACAAGGCAAAATGGATTTGTAGTTAATAACTTTGCTGTATTCTAAAACCAACAAGGTCCTCCAGTACCAGAACCCATCTGGTTATGGGCTTACAGTTAATAACTTTGCTGTATTCCAAAACCAACAAGGTCCTCCAGTACCAGAAACTACCTGGTTATGGACTTACAGTTAATAACTTTGCTGTATTCCAAAAACCAACAAGGTCCTCCAGTACCAAAAACTACCTGGTTATGGGCTTACAGTTAATAACCTTGCTGTATTCCAAAACCAACAAGGTCCTCCAATACCAGAAACCAACTGGTTATGGACTTACAGTTAATAACTTTGCTGTATTCCAAAACCAACAAGGTCCTCCAGTACCAGAAACCATCTGGTTATGGACTTACAGTTAATAACTTTGCTGTATTCCAAAACCAACAAGGTCCTCCAGTACCAGTTATATTTGTTATTAATCAGCTTGATACATTCTAAAATCAATGGAGCTTATCTGGCTAGTTTGGTTATATCATCGATGTTAATGTCTTTCACCACACCTGCAATCCTTTCAGTTCAGGCATTGTATAAAAACATCATTTCAACTAAGGACGTGTATGGTGTAGTAACGTCATTAGGATGAGCGTCATTATTGGGCAGTTAAAATGTCATTATAGTTTCCTAAATAGAAACCCATATGGGACTATCATTAGTGTTTCTGAAATGTCCTATCACAGAAAACCACTTCACAGGTTGAACCAGAACATTTAGGGTTAATTTCCGGCTATTATTAACATTATGAAAAAAAGTATTAAAATTTTTTTAATTTTGTTCAACCATTTTCCTCATTATTCCTATCACACTGTTACTGAAGAACCTTGTTTCATTGACCCCCAACGTTACCTCTGATCATATTCGAGCCAGTGAAAATGAACACTTACCCGAGTTTTTAAGAGAGTGGCATTTTTTTCCATTAACTGTTTTTGTAGACTAGCAACTAACTCGTGTTTGGGTTTTAACGAAGAAATTCCTCTCCCTGGACCAGATGCGGCATTACTATCTGTGCACGAGGACGTCATGGAATCATCAATGTAGAAATCGGCTGTCGGATGACCCGAGGGCACGAAGCACAAATCAGAAGAAGAGAAATCTTTTGAAATTGTTTTAATATCCCCATCGCTTTGAGTTCGAAATATTTTTTGTCTTTCTTTCATTGCCATTTTTTGCTCAAAATCTACATTTTTATGTTTATGAGGTTTGGGAAAAGTGTCTGTCCTCTCCACTGCCCCAATATGCTCAAAGCCTTCAACACTAACTTCTTTCCAGTCTCTAACAGGCAATTTCTTACTTCCTGTGGCACAACCGAGCAGATTGTGTGTTTGTTTAAAATCTACGTGCGTTAATAATTCTTCGTCATAAAGCAGCACATCTTTATCTACATCACAGTACTTCTTTAGTTCGTGTTCACTAACTTGTTTCTCTTTACTAATATATTCAGAAAGTGGTGGGACTGCAGCAACACACTGAATCAACTCTTTCGATGAAATTACCAGCAGTTCTGCAAATTCGGGTAACTTTTGTTTAAGCTTTTCAATATCTTCTTCAAACACATTTGGAAGATCTTGGTCAAACGGTTCCGGCCTGTTTAGCTGAGAAAGAACAACCAGTGAAACTTCCAGTAGAAATCCATAGTTTTTAACATATGACTACTTCCTTAAAACAAAATCACTTGATCTAAAAAAAGATCCTGTTTTGAAGATTTAAATCGAAATTAAAATTTAACTTTTACCAACAACAAAGAAAATGTACATAAACAGCTAGCAGCTTACAAACACAATGTTTTCAATGGTATTTTTATAATTTATACGGTTATTAGCCTGTATGATTAACACAAAAAAAGACAAGTAAACAATTCAACGTTGAGATTATGATTTATCCTCGTAACTAACATCACGTTACAGCTTGCACATTTACATAACGCCGACTCACAGCAAAAGGAGGAGGCGAGTCTTCCATTCCGGGAAAAAGTGCGTGCAGAAAATGATTTGCTATTTTTTCATTAAAAGTTTTCCTAGTAGTCACTTCAACTTTATGGAGATGCATAGTGTGTTCTGTGAGACTGTTGGCCCACTGAAAAGTTTGAAAAACAAAAAGTACATTAGTCTGGTGCATCTTATTTAAACAATTCTATCTAAGAGTACGCTGTAATACTAAGACAAGAACACTCATTTAAACAATTCTAACAGTATGCTGTAATACTAAGACAAGAACACTCATTTAAACAATTCTATCTAACAGTATGCTGTAATACTAAGACAAGAACACTCATTTAAACAATTCTAGCAGTATGCTGTAATACTAAGACAAGAACACTCATTTAAACAATTCTATCTAACAGTACATTGTAATACTAAGACAAGAACACTCATTTAAACAATACTCTATAACAGTATGCTGTAATACTAAGACAAGAACACTCATTTAAACAATTTATCTAACAGTATGCTGTAATACTAAGACAAGAACACTCATTTAAACAATACTCTATAACAGTATGCTGTACTAATAAAACAAGAACACTCATTTAAACTATACTCTATAATAGTACACTGTACTAATAAAACAAGAACACTCATTTAAACAATACTCTATAATAGTACACTGTACTAATAAAACAAGAACACTCATTTAAACAATACTCTATAATAGT